GTATATTGTTACAAAGGATTAACCATAAAAAAACCAACAACATTATTTTTAGCAAAAAGGAAAAAAAAAAGGAAGATCGTTTTAGTGACAACAGCAAAGATATAATTTCATACTGGGTGGGAGAAGGTAATGGTAAACTACTCCTGTATTTTACCCAAAAGCCCATATGGATGGAAAATATAAAACATTTGACGATATAGTGCTGGATGATGAGCTCCTCAGATCTGATGGCACTCAACATGCTACTCAGGAAGAGCTGAGGATCTTTTGGAATACTAATGGTGTTTATGACGTGGCTAGTGTTAAGCCTTTAGCATGTCTTGTTGCTGATGTTGCCATGCAGGAAAAGAAAACTGAAGCTGCAAAGACAGAATTACACTGGGAACATGGAATGTAAGAAGCATGAACACGTTCAACACCATGAAAGTTCAACGCTATGAAAAATGAAATGAATCTACTATACATTTACATCTTAGGCATTAGTGAATTGAGATGAACTGGAATTGGACACTTAAAGTTAAAAAATCACAGTATTTACTACGCAGGACCTGAAAAAGAAAGAACAGCATTGCTTTTATAGTTAGGACTATAGCAAGAACAGTATTTGCCTACAGTGCAGTCAGTGACTGAATAATATCAGTTAAATTTCACGGATAACCCTTTAATATCATCCAGGTTTATGCTCCAGCTACTGATGCAGAAGAAGAGGAGATGGATTAATTTTATGATCAGATTCACTTTGAAATTGACAGAATATGCAAGCAAGATGTGTTGCTTATTGTTGGAGACTGATTGTTGCCAAAGTGGAAATGTCAAGGAGGAACCTAGTATGGCTCAGGAAACTGAAATTAAATAGGAGAATAACTTATCAATTTCTCCCACTCCAATATTTCTTAATTGTCATCAGATAACTAAAATGACACCTGTACACAGAAATCAAATTGACTATATTATTGGTAGAAGAAGGTAAAAAAGCTCAGTTATAACAGCCAGGGGCTGAATGTGGAACAGATCACAAATTGGCCATGTGCAAGTTCCAGGTTAAACTGAAATGGAAGAAGAAATTTTCTACATTAATGCCTGGAACATATAGCCACCATTTTCAAGGAGAACATCAGGAATCACTTTGAAGTCCTGAATCTCACTGATAGAGAACCAGAGGAACTTAAACAAGTAATTAAGGATGAATGTGAAAACAGACTGCCAAAGATAAAGAAACAGAAGAAAACAAACTGGATCTCAGAACAAACCACTGAACTTGCCAAGAAAAGAAGAGAAAAGAAATCAAAGCCAAGAATGATAAAAATCTCAGAAAGGAACTTAACAAACGTTTTCAGAGGGCTGTTAAAAGAGATAAGCAAGATTTCAGTAGCACTTGTAAAGACACAGAAGATGGAAACAGACATGGGAAAACAAGGAAAGTCTGCCAAAAGATCTCTGAACTTAGAAGGAGCTTCACATCTCAAACTGGGAGGCTAAAGGACAGTAATGGACAGGTAGTAACTGATTCAAAGAAGATCAAAGAAAAATGGAAGGAGTATCCTGAAATTTTGTACAGTAGAGATCTTAACATCCAAAATATCTTAAAAGATTCCCTACTTAGAAAGGCCTCTAATGTTAGAAGATGATGCTGGATTAGCACTCCGTCATTATAAGTTGGAAGGCTAGAGAAATTGATGGAATATTTATAGAAATATGATAAGCAAAAGAAGAATCAGTACAGGTGCTAACCAATCTATGCTAGCAAATCTGGGGAATGACAGTGGCCACAGATTGGACTTAACAGAGTGTGCAGATTTTCATACAATATCCTTAATTTCCATGTTAGCAAAATAATGCTAACATGGAAATTAAGGATAACTAAAGCTGGATAACTAAGAAAGCCAAAGAATACCAAAAACAAGTCAGTATGTGCTTCATTGATTATAGAAAGGCCATCAATAGTACTGATCATGTAGAATTGTGGAATGTGCTTAGAAAAATGAGAATCTCAGAATGTCTTATTATCCGAATGCAAAAACTGTATATAGGCCAGGAAGCCACAGTATGGACAGAATTTGGTAAAAGAGACCGGCTCTAGGTTGACAAAGGAGTGAGACAAGACTATATATTCTCCCCTAATTTATTCTATGTATATGTGGAATACATATTGTGGAAATCTGGGTTGGAAGAAGATGAGTGTGAATTCAAAATTGGAGGAAAAAACATTGATCACCTTTGCAATGCTGATAACCCTACTCAAATGCAAATGATCTGTAAGTACTAGTAATGAAAGTCAATGTGCACAGTGAAAAAAATGGGACTAAGATTAAATGTAAATAAGACCAAAGTAATGACAACTGGAAAAGCAACCAGCCTTAGAACTGACAATTAAGATATTGAAGTGCTAGAGAAGACACCTGAGAATATCACGGAAAGCCAAGAAAATGAACAAATGCATCATTGAACAAATCTACCCAGAGTTCTCATTCAAGACACAAATGAACAGGCTCAAATTATTTCTTTCAGACACATTATGCAAAGACCTAGGTCTCTGGAAAAGTCTGTAATGCAAAGAAAGGTGGAAAGAAAGAGAGGAAGAGGATGACCAGAGGCAAGGTGGATGGACTCAATTACAGCAGCTATGAGTGCTCTGTTGGAAGACCTGACAAACGAGGTTAGGAGCAAATCCTCCTGGAGAAAATCTAATTGTGTGGCTCCTAAGAGTCAACACTGACTTGATGGAATGTAATCAGTGAAAATGCTACATCATTTAGCAACAGCCTCCATGGCTGTGGGGTGGGTCAGAAAAGTAAAAAAAATCAAGATGGCAGTCATAACAGCTTAGTAAGCAATATTCTTGAACGAAGATTATGCATTCCCCAGAATGTATTGATGATCATGATGAATAATCATTAATCATTAATGAGAGAAGCTATATAATCACTCAGTATACCATAAGATCTGAAAAGAAAAGAAAAAAACATTTTCATAGTTGGGGAAGAAACTATCCATTGAAGTATGAATGAGAAACTGGCTGATTTGGCCCTAGAACTTCAGAAGTTCTAAGTTTAAATAAATAAGCATAAGCTTAAATTTTCAGTGATGGGACTATGATTATAACATAGGCCTAGAGTTGAGATTATGTTTCATGTGTTCTTGAATGCAAAAAAGAAACTTGAGAAGAGTTTGAAATTATTTGGCATATTTACCAAGAAGATGATACATATGATACATAATGAAGAGAAAGGATACAGTTCACACTCACAAACTAGATTTGAATATAATCACTGTAAATTCACTATTTCAAAATAAAGTCAAAAACACAATATATTGAAAAATTGAAGGTTAAGAACAACATGAGAAAAATAAACCCATCAGACCATAGAAGCAACAACAAGCCAGAAGAGGAAGGAGAAAAATGAACCAGTGAATCTTTCATTTAAGATTTCAAATCAGAATAAAATGGAATTGCTCAGAAAAGGGCTGTGTGCTCCTCCCAAGACATAACCCATCACAAACCAGAACTGACACTTTCTTGTTTAGGAGAGTATTAAAGCTAAAATAGTATTTTAAAAATGCACCATCTACTTATATGGAGCCTTACCACATTTTCCATTCTAAATATATATTTAACATTCCAGGAGCTGTATCTCCTGATGTATAGATTTTTGAGGAGTTGGGAAGGAATGAAAAAATGAACAATTTATATTGGCATAATTTACATAGAGTGAAGTCTGAGACACTATGCCAGTTGGCTATGGACCCAGAGATTGTAATTAAATCAGCTGAGCAGAGAAGAGCTATGGGAACTAAGAACAGATAGGATTGTGAAAATGTACCATATAAACAATTATTAGAGAAAGGTTCATGTATATAGAAAGTACAATTAATTTTATCAGTACAATATAGAGGGAGATCAACATAGAGGAAATTTTAATAATGGGATACATAAGACAAAATATATATTTTAAATGCATGCAAAATGCATGAATTCCAGTATTCTGTATTCTCCCCAAATTTAAAAAAGGAGTATCACCCCTTTCCCCTTTACCTACCGCTTTGATTTGGCAGAGTTGGCACGCTCCAGGTTCCATTGATTGAACAAGGCCCTGGAAACACTCATTTGGACCCTGGAAACACTCATTCTCTAGCAGTGCCTACTCTCTGGAATGAGGTTCCCCCCAAAATGCAGACAGCTCCCACCCTACTGGTATATCGAAGAGCACTAAAGACCTGGCACTTTACCCAGGCCTTTGGCAAGGATGACTGATGCCCCTGTCTTCCTTTTGGATGGCTCTGGGTTTGTTTCTTTGCCATCATTGTTCTTTTGTTCTGCGCTGTTTTTGTTGATTTTGTATTGTTTTTTGTTTTTAAATGTTTTTAATAATGGTAAGCCACCCAGAGTTGCTGGGAGTCAGACGGCATATAAATTTAATAAAGTGTTATTTATTATTATTTCAGACTGTCTAAATTCATGGTTCTAAATATGGGGAGAGAGTGAATGTTTTCCCTCTTTTACAATATTAAAACACAGGATCAGCCATTAAAAATAAATGTAGGGAGATTTAGAACTGATAAAACTTTAGTTTCTCGATAACAGATAATGAAACTCTTGATTTTTAACATCAGATGTGATGATTGCCACCTATTCCTTTAAAAGGAAACTGGGCCAATTCCCAGAGAACCAGGATATCAAAGGCTGCTAATCTTGTTGGCTGTTCCAGGAAAGTAATGTGCTTTCTTAAACCTTTTTTACAACAACTGGGTATGCTACATATTCTGGATTTCATTGACACACTACAGCTTTCTCTTTCTCTCTCTGACATATTTAGAAGTTCCAGTCTAAATAATTTTAGTTTTCTTTTCCAGATTAAAAAAAAATAAAGCCAAAGTTGCTATTTGGCAGAGTATCCTTAAATACACCAGAGTACAAATATATAATGTTAGAAAAATGAATGCTTTTACATCATAATTAATCAAATTGGCTGATATGAAACATATTCCTTTTCTATTTCTAGGTACTCCACTTTTGGTTAGAAGGAGTAGTGATCCAGCTGTGGGACAACCAGCTGACTTTGTGGCAGGAGCTTCATATGCTAATCAACATATTGTGAAGACCTCTGTGTCAGTAGGTATCTTGTGCCTCCAGATTCTGACATTGTTCCTAACAGTATTAGAATTCTTAGAAATCCAGGGCTTGTTAAGCAGTTAATATTCTATTAGGCTTTGTTATAATTACCTAAAGACTGATGGGTGACTTTTGGCAAAGATTTTTTCACAAACTTCTGGGGCAATTTTCCCAATTTATTTGAGCCCTGTATGACAAAGCTTCTCTGTCCTGGAGAAGAAGAATGGAAGGGAGGTATTTGTTGTGAATCTACTGTTTTGCTCACTGGATTACAACCTTATTACTCCTGAGTAATAATTCAGATGCAAAATGCTTTAGGCAGAGTTCCAGTAATGTGTTTTCTTAAACCATTTTTACAACAACGGGGTATGCTACATGAAAAACTGCTCCTGAGATTTATGAAAATTCTAAGAAGGCCTGTATGATATAGAGAGCTATAATTGTGTATGTGTATGTGAAAAAGCAGAAATAAGAGATGAGTTCTACAGACATATGCTGAGTAGAACATCTGATATTTCTTCTGATATTTTGTATATACATGTGTGTTGTGCAAGCGCTATTTTTCATCTCAGTAGAACAGAGAACATTCTAGATGCTATGAAAAAAGTAACTGTCACAAAAGTTAAACATCTCCAATGTTTCTGTTCCATAAGATGTTACTGAAATGAGAATAATTTCTCTTCAGAGCAGTTTCACATAGCTATTAACGTAGCAGCTGCATGTGGTGTAGGCAAAGGATCCAGCTGCCACTTCCAGTTGCATGTATGTGCAAAAGGACATCTACATCCTAAACATTTTGTTTATTTGATGTAACTCCTTGTTCCCTATGTTAAGTTTAATTAAATATATGTTTTGTAAATTTAACTCTTTAAGATGAAATACACATAGCACTACAATAGTTTTTTTTAAAAAACTAAAAGTTTTCAGTAAGTTTTGAATAAGATGTCTCAGAGCTAAAGTATATGATGATATTAGAAAGCTGAGAAAGATTAGTTGTGATTTAATTTGAATGCTAAGGTGAATATAGAATTTTTTTTAACGTAATCATAAATGCATAGGTTATCTACAGTCAAAATGATACTTCTTGATTCCTTTAATTTTGCTCATATTTTTTGGTGCTTGATTATATCAGATAGTGAAAACTGGGCGGCAGATTTTAAGTAACTTTAGCAGGACAAAAGCTCTAGGATTAGAGTTAATACTATATATCTACAGGAAAAATGTTTAGCAATCCCAAAGTTATTGAAACAAAGTTATGCTGGCTTTTCAAAACATCTAAAGAAAAATTTGGAACAGATATGTACTGAAAGCTTTGGCTTCAGTCATTTTGGAAATTGAAATTATTATGGGAAGGTCAAACCCAAGATTTTGGAACTTCATAGTTTTATCAAGACAAGAAATAGTTGGGTTTCTCTTTATTTAAATATTGTCAAAGAAGACATATTCTTTTATTCTTAGACATATTAGAGCGCAGGAGAATTAATTTATATTTAGAGAAGCAAAAAGTTTGTTGGCTAGAAATTATGTTAAATTAATATGGAAAGCAGCTTTGGAATTATGGTATTGTATCATAAAAGAAATAGAAAAAAATGTACTCATTTAATTAAGAAACTGTATTTAGATATCCCTGCATGTTAAAATCTTAAATAAACTCTAAAACATGGGACAATAATGCCAGACTATAGTCAGCAGCACCATATTAATCAGTAGCCTGGCATCAGGTTTGTCCTAAAGTAGCACCGGAAACTTAAAGTGCTTGGTGCTGATTGTAATTTAATAGGGAAGGAATTCCAACCATAATTTTTGGAATACCTGCTGAATTACCATGTAATGAATCCGCTATCCTCAAAAAGGTTTTCCTGCTAGATTTTAGCTGACAGATGCACTATTAGATATCTGGGCACTAAGTCATATAGGGCTTTGTACAGTATTAAATGCATCTTGAATTTCACCAGGTAGCAGGCAGTGCCGTGCCTTCAGAATCAGTGCTGCATGTTTATGAGTGGCCATCCTGTTGAACAATCTAACTCTGGCATTTTGCACTAGCTGCAGCTTCTTGGCCAAATTCAAGGGCAGTTCTGGGTACAACTTGTTGCAATATCCAGTCTTGAGACTACAGCTACATGGATCACAGTGGCCATGTTACCCTATCCTTAGTTGGCAAACCATCAGAGAAGGTAGAAAGCACTTTGTTCCATAAAAGTCAGTTGTGCCTCCATTCATAGTGTAGAGAGTAAGGAAGATGACCTTGACAGATCCATTACCAAAGTGACAAAGGGAGAAACATGGCTTAAGCCCGAAATAAGAAGAAGGCATGTGCAAAAGACTCAAGCAGACACCTCCCTAATTCACATGAATGTGGGGGTGGGGGTGTAAAGCACAGCTGGACTTGCAAGATTCTGCTACTACAGCCAGTATTAATGAACATAGTTTTAGCCTACATGTGGAGTTGATTTCTTCATTTGGTCCACATAGTGGGACTGACACATAGTGATAGAACTGTAACTACTGTCAACGCTTGTCTTATCTGAATTATGATTCAGTACCAATCTAAAGCAAGTAATCTCAAAATTTCTGGACAAGGAAACTGATTGTCTATAGTGCACATGCCTTGTCTGGATTAAGCCTCCATTTATTTATTCTTAGTAAGTTTAAAGCAAATCAGCAAAATCATACTTCCCTGTTTTTCTTCCTTTAAAGACTGTCCATCAGGGTGAATCATACTGATTCAGTTCCTTAATCAAACACGAATTTAGACTGGGTAACCTGTTTCTTCCAAGAGTATCTGCAGCTCTGCAGTCACTACACTATTCCCCTAAAAACAAAGGATCCAAAGCAGGTTTACGGAGAATCAGAGTATCCTGAAGATGCATTTGCAACACTAATTCATCTAGTTAATCCCTTCTGGCCAAAAAAGACAAGGATCAGAGGAGCATGTGGTAGGAGGCACAAATCTTTCCACAGCTTCACAAGTGAAATGGATTGCATTAAAGCAGATAATACAGGATAGCATATGCCCGTGTGACTTCCATCAGCTGTGACATCAAGATCAGCATGAAGATAAGTGAACTTTATCCCTATTCTGTAGTGCCTTGCAAATACATCCTAGCATGTACATGTGGACTCTTAACAGTCCAAATGTAAACAATCTCCGAAATGCATGAAATAGCTCTATTGCACAGCTTCCCAAAGATGCAGTAGTGACTGTGAAGAAAGCCTTCTTTCCTGGTTTTATTGCCACATAATAGGTAAGATGATGTATTCTAACTCACATTCAGTCATCTCAATAAGATTTCTACCACTTGCATACTAGCTCTCTCCCAAGCTAGTTCATTGCCTGTAGGTTCTCTGAGAACCAGGAGGACCTCTGGGCTCTATAGTGTCACTTATAGGTCAAGAAGGTGCTTGGACAATTGTATCAACAGCCTGAATTAACTACAGGTTTGACAGAACCACCATCTCTGTCACCAGGAAAATTTCCCAGAGTGGACTATTTTAGTAGATTCTTCATCTCCAAAGGCAGATGAAATGATCATCAGTTCAACCCTCATCGGAAATTCAACAGACAGTGACAACATGGTAATTACAAATTATAAATCCCTCCACTTTCAATCTGCCTTTTTCATATCTTGGCATAAAGTCTAGATCAAGAGTATCTTTTGTGTTGGTCCAGCAACTTATTGAGATAGCTCCAGTGTTGTAATGGAAGCCATGAAGTCTTCAGCTATCACGTGGCTGTTGAAGTACCTAAGGACAACTTTCTTTTTAGTCTCCAACCTCATCAGAGACTACCCTGGCCAGGCATGTGGTATTCAAATGGATGGTACAAAATAACATCAGATTTTGTCCTTTTGCCCAACATTGTGTGCAAACCCACAGATCCTGCTTGGGAGCAAAAGAGTCTTCCCATGAGAACAGTGTAACTCTGAATTAAAGTATAAATGATAAATATTTACTTAAACAAATCTGGCATTTATCAGTAGCACTTCCAGACTACTGGGTAGGCTGATAGCACAACGTAGATTCATATATATAGAAAGAGTATGGGCTAATTAGTAAGATCTTCTCCAGCTGATTTCCTATTTGTCTTTGTAAATCAGCCAGTGAATTTTCCTCCCTGGTATCACCTGGATTATTACTGAGGATAGTATTTAAAGCAGATATATACAACCAATTTCAGGGAGATGGTTGAATAAAATAACCCTCTTCCTTGTAATTCCTCTGATCCAATTTGTTAGTTCTGATATTTACTTGGAAGAAAACTTCCCTACTCCTCCTAACAATGTAATCTTTCAGCTATTCTAAGGATTTCCAAATGGTCTGGCTTTCCCTGATTCCAGTCAGGAACACTGTCCCAAGCTCTCACTTTGTCTTCCCACAGCTTGGAATAAAACCAGAGAGAATGTGGGCACAACAAACAATCCAGCATCTGAAAATATCTCTGCAAAGTTCTGCCACTCTTAAGTAAAGAAGTAAATGTTGAATGTTGCAGAAATGTTGCATGATACCTGCTACATCTCATGTTATTTAGAAATAGATTGGATTGATATTCTTCCTGGTTCTGCCTTGGTGTTTAACTCACACCAAGCTTCACACTTATGCTCAAATGCAAGCTTAAGTGGTGACTTGAAGGAGAGAGTACAGCAGCCAGACAAACATGGCTTCCAATAATGACATCTCCATATTGTAATAATAATTAATTTTCTGTGCTGCTTTGATGCATGGGGATGTCAAGTAATGGTTTTTATGAAGTGGGGGGTGTCAGATAACAAGTGAATACTGTAACCAAATAGTCAGAATTAACTTATTTATCACTGCAAATGTATGGTCTTAGAGATGTTCATATTCTCTAATCAAAACAGTAGCCAATAAAGTTGGAAGAAAAGTGGCAGAGAGGAACAAATTAACTGGGGTAACAACTTTTTCTTCTTCTTCTTCTTCCTCTTCTTCCCCCTCCCCCCCTCCTCCTCCTCCAAACTTGTATGCTGCCTGACTCTCAA